GTCCTCCTGAACATCAGGGACTAAAGCAGCACCATTTACCTTGCTCACCTGTCTGCATTTTCATACAGCTTGTCTTCTCTCAGACTTAACTGTCTATAGCCACCCGATTTTGTAATACTACTGCCACCATCTTATCTACCTATGTAAATCATGATCATTATTGCATTCATACAGTCTCCAGGAGACCTTTTCTAATCCCAAATTGCCTAAGTTATTGTGCATGCACTCAAACACAGTGACTCACTTAATCCTTAGAATTTGTGTATGCATTTTAATAATCTTGATCCCTGTGGTGAAAGAGAAGGGAAGGCATTCTTAGTGAGAGGATGGAATGGATCATGAAGTTCTAGGGACACATTTGAAGAGAAGAGGGGGGAATGAAGGAAGATTATTAATCATACATAGAGTATGAAAGCAATGAAATGTTAATTAAGGTTAGAAAAACTTTCTGTTTGGGAGCCCTGACAGAGTTCTAAAGATCAAGTTGTGGTCATACCTAGTAATACAAAATAGTGGTTCCCAAAACCTGGCTGTACTGGATGGTTTAGGGCAGTACTTGGCCTGCGGGTCACGACCCCTTTGGGGTTGATGACCCTGTCACAGGGGTCGCATATTAGATATCCTACATGTCAGATATTTACGTTACAATTCACAGTAGTAGCAAAATTACAGTTACAAAGTAGAAATGAAAATAATTTTATTGTTGGGGGTCACCACAACAGGAGGAACAGTATTAAAGGGTCACAGTATTAGGAAGTTTGAGAAACACTAGTGGTTTAGGATAAAGCTACTACTACCCGTGAATTACCCAAACTCAAGTCACAATTTCTAAGACGCAACAAAGTTAGCAACTTACTCTAAAAAAGTGGCAAGTAATGTTAATTGTGAAAGGACTTTGAAGTAGGATTCAGAAACTGGATTGATATCTTCCTGCTTTGTTGCTTGTGATCTGTTTTTTAAAATACTTGTTTAGTTTTTTATGTATACGCTTGTGTGTTCGTAAGTTTATGTGCACTTGCATGTGTGTAGGAGGCCAGAGGGTGTCACATCTAATTTGGACTTACAGGTGGGTGTAGCCTCCTGATTGTGGGTGCTCAGAACACAACTTAGTTCCTCTCTCAGACCAGTCAGTGCTCGTAACCTGAGTGGTCTCTCCAGCTCTGCTGCTGTGGTGTTAAGCAGGCAGTTTAACAGCTGCTTTTAATTTTTAATGTATAACTTGGTTGATCTCAGAAAATTGTTGTTGTTGTTTCTGATTTCTTTTCATTTTAGGAAGGAAATAGCAGAATGAAATAATTTTACCTACAAACTTATATGTAGGGTAGGTTGTGGGTAAAGAAGTTATGGTGATCAAGCATCGCTTCACACTCTATCTTTTGTTAGTTTGAACATGACAGTGAATTTCTACAGAAATCTAGATCATTGGTAGAAACTTTCAAGGCCTCACATAGGTGCTGTATTCAGGCGTTTGGTGCCATAGCTGAACTTCCCCTACTGCTTATCTCTAGCAAGGGCTGCTCTAGATGGTGCAACTTGCTCTAAGTGTTTAATTAAGATGCTGTATGCCTCTGCTCTTTAAAAAAATAAAAAGCTCATGGACTACTTAAATTTTGTCATTAATTAAACACATTGTATGTGTGCATTCTTGGGATTGGGTCACATGTGGGCCATGGTGCACACGTGGAGGACAACTTGGGAAAGATAGTTCTTTCTACCAGTTAAATTCTAGAGATAAAAGCTGGGTCAGAGACTCAGGCCTGGGGACACCTGTACCCACTGGGCTTGTCACAAACCCCTTGGAATGCTTAAGTCTTTTTTTTCTTTTTTTTTTTTTTTAAGGATTTTTGAAAAAAGGATCCATGGAGAATTTAATTCAATATTTGTTCAACAGCTTATCAAATAAGGGGTAGGAATTTATTTAGAATATATACATGGAGTCATCCTGAAATAAAAGGTTGATTTAGAACCTTACCCTTTTTAATTGATTTTTGCTTTTTCATTCCTTATGTGTTAAAGTTAGGATAAAAGAATAACTGTCTTTCTTATAAAATTGTTTAAGAAAAAAGAAGTGATACTTAAGTGGTCATTGTACCTTCCCAGACACTCACTGTCAAGCTCATGTGCACTTACTTCTACTTTTACCTTTCCTAGTTCTTGTATGCCACCACCAACACTCAATTGAGGTTTTTCTTTTTGTAGCTTGTATGTTCTGGTCTTGTCCTGATATTTTAGAGATGACTTTGTTATTATTTATAATTAGAAGATTAAATTTTCTCTCCCCCCTTAATCTATCCAGTTAACCATAGTTCAACTCAAGTAGCTTAAAAGTAATTACCTAGTATATTTTATCTCCTAAAAATAAATCTCTGTAGGCTTTTATTTAGTGCTGTTATTCTATTTTAAAGAACTTCAGTTTTTAAGTCAAACTTCAGATAACACTTAAATATTTAAGAATTGGTGATACAGTTTATAATATGTATTTTTCATCTTTCATAAATATTTCAACAAAATGAGTTAAATGTGTTAGATGTTTTAGCTTTGGTTAACCAAGATGAATTTGGAGGCTAAAATTCAAATATTTTCTTTACTTCACATTGTCTTCCTCTACTTCTTTACTTCCTTTACTTCCACTCTTTAATTGAATAAAGTCTTACCATTCTTATTTTCTTGGACAGTATTTTTTTTTGCCAACATTCAGATTATGTACAATATTTAAAGTAGTTTTAAAGTTAGAATTATTTTTTACACAGACAGAAAAATACACATAGGGTAAGTTACTGTAGACAAAAAAAAAAAGTCTTTTGTAGGACCTACTTTAAAGGGGCAAAAAGATAGTGAATTTTGGAGAATGTGTAACTTCCACTGAGTGATAAGTGTAAGGAGAATGGAAAGGAAAGATGAAACTAGAGAGAAAATGGAGAGGCATTAAAAAGAATGAGAATAGGATGGAAGAGGAGAGAAGAGATAGAAATCTAGAATGGATGGATAGATGGGTGGATGCATAGGAGATCAATAGATATCCAGCAGATAGAAACACATCCAAGTGTAGGCTGGAGGAAGAAATAGATGAAGGGTGTTACTAGGCACTACGTTGTGAGCACCGTTGTTCCTGCCTTTCATAGTACTGCCCTCCAAAATCACGAGGAGTTTAGAAATCCAGATCCTAGCCCAACTTTTCTGTTACCTCAAAGAAGTCAGTTAACTTATCTGGGGATCAGATTTCTTATCTGTAAAATGTAGACAGAATAGGTGATCTTTAACATATGAAAGTGTACAACTTTAGGAATGAGTCACTGGCAAAATATACTCCTGTTGGAAGTTTTCTGCTAGAGCAGACTTTAAGAAACTGTTTAGAAGTGGAGATTAACCATCTTAGGTTAGGAAAGCCTTTCCTGTCTTACTGCTTATTTTCCTAGCAGCTTATTTAGTGTTTGCCACATACTAGGCACCCAGAAAATGTGTATTAGGAAAATTACCATTTTGAAAGTTTGATGGACCCACCCATAGGACCTATAGAAAAACTGTATGATTGAGGGAGGGAAAGACTGATTTCTTCTGGAGGAATCTTGGGCTGAATCTTAATCTCATTTCTTCCTTATTATATATTTAGAGAAAATGTTAGTAGGCAGTAGCATTTCTAAAGTCACAATATACAGTGTCTAGACACAAATAAAATAGATTAACAATATACACTTTAGGTCAGTTTCCTTCCAAGTATCTTAAAGAAATTCCGAGGCTAACAATTTTCAGGTAGCTATTAGTGGAGTTTCTGTGAGCACATAGTTATGCCAAAATACAAATTTTGCTGATGTTTGAGAGACTGTACAATTTATGTAGTCTTATATTTACATGAAAGACATAGACTGTGAGAAACTATAGTATATGTAGTATTTTATTTATGTGAAAGGCGAAATCTCAGGCTCTTTAGATCTTTGAAATGCTTAGACCCAAAACTGAAACCAGAAGGGAAAAAATATATTTTAAATCCCCAGAACTAAAGTCATTATTTTCTGATGAGTTATGTTTTTTTTTTTTTAACTTCCAGTTTAAAATAAATTTGGTTGACCACTGTATCAACAGTCAGCAAGCCAAAAACAAAGCACTAAATCACATGGGTCAGAATAAGGGAGGAAATGAGGCATTCATAGACAGGGTGGCAACATAAATGACATTGTACACCTTTGAGAGAAAAAAGAAAGGTACACGTGTATAGAATATTAACTCTCCATTCTAAATCTAAAATAACCATCTGAAAAGAGTGTGTCAGACATTTTTAAAAAGAATGTCCAATTTGATTAATACTCTTGAATGTTATAACTGAATGGCAAACCTTGTAGTCTTAAAAAGTACACACATGAAGCATGTCTATTCCTGTATCTAGCCCCAGATGTGCTAGAGAAATATAGGGTCTTTGTACTTTGAAATATTTTTAAATCATTTCAGTTTTGTAGTCAGACCGATATCAGATTAGGGTTTTCTTTTTCACAATTGCTAAATATTATATGTTGGGATTGTAAAAATTGTAATGTTACAAAATATGTATTAGTAATAGACTTTCTCTAAAATGCATTTACAAAGGATTATATAAAATTAGAGATACTATCACAAAGTGGGAATGATTGTCTTTCCTGTGTACATTAATTGTAAATTAAAACAAAACACACAGTTATTTCAGAATTTATTAAAGGCATATTTGCATGTGCCTATTTCACACATATGCCCTTAATGAATCAGAGAACAAGATCCATTTGTATTATGTAACATCTTACTTGGTATGACTATCAACATAGTTTATTGTAAAAAAAAAATAATATGAAAAATACAAAAAGATAATCAAAATACTAATTTCAGGCTAGAACTTTCGTTAAAAATCACAGTCCATTTGCAGTGAGTTGAATAATAAGTCATATTAATATGTTTTAAATTGCCAACTCCAGAAGATGGATACCAATTTCATTCCTGATGGCAATGAATTTCCTTCTTCTGAATTTTTTTATTAGGTGCACTAGGCCTTCCAATGAGGGGGATGAGCAACAATACCCCTCAGTTAAATCGCAGCTTATCACAAGGCACTCAGTTACCGAGCCACGTCACGCCAACAACAGGGGTACCAACAATGTCACTTCACACGCCTCCATCTCCAAGCAGGTATTTATTAATGGACCAGAATATTTTCAGAATGTATTTGGTAGATTAAGGAAGATTTAACTTTTTAATATGGTAACTATTTTTCTGGTTCAGTGCTTTGCACTAAGAAAACAATACGTATGTTCATTTAATTTCATTGCAAAGTGATAAGTATAGTATAGTATTTTTGTCTTGAAGCCATGTTAGTTATCATCTGAATGGATCAAGGTTTAATCACCTCTTGGGGAGCATTTACCAAAAAGCCATATACCTCTTCCTCAAAGATGTTCAATTTAAAATGACTCCCCAGATAACTGTGTTCCTTACTTGCTCGCTCCCTCACCACACATCTATTGTTTAGTTACAGTCAAATTAAACAGATAACATGATTATGTATATTATTAATATCAAGAAGACAGAATAACATGAACTTTGAATGAAATTATTATTATATATATATATATATGTGGAAAACATTTATATCATAGTTGTCCCAGTAGTTCTCATCTGTGATGGCACCTTTTTTAGTTCCACTATAATATTAGGAATACAACTGGAATGTGTATTTGAAATTCTAGGGGTTAGAGCAATTGATTATTTATAGAGAATTTTAATGAGTGATTGTAGAGAGCTTATTTAGTATGATGGACTTCTTTTTCAGGGGTATTTTGCCTATGAATCCTAGGAATATGATGAACCACTCCCAGGTTGGTCAGGGCATTGGAATTCCTAGCAGGACAAATAGCATGAGCAGTTCAGGGTTAGGTAGCCCCAACAGAAGCTCGCCAAGCATAATATGTATGCCAAAGCAGCAGCCTTCTCGACAGCCTTTTACTGTGAACAGGTAAGATGTTTATTGATACTGCATATAATTGTCTTTTGGGGTATCCTCAGGTTTGCCTTTTCATATGCAACACCTTGTTTTTAGTGTGGCTTCTGTCTCATAGGTGTGTTTTATTGTATGTCTGTGAGCAAAGTTGTTACCTATTATAATCCGTAACCCTCCCCAGACTCAACATGTTCTTAGAAAGATGCTTTTGTGTTATGTAGCATGTTAAATCTTTTTGTTGATGTATTACTCAAAAAGGAATATTCTTGGGTTGTCACCAGGAACATTTTTATTGTTTTGTCCTTACATTATTGAGTAAAATTTATCCATCCACGTGCTAAGAGTTCTGGGTTTATGACTATGACTGGAAGAAACATGTTTGATTATCACTGCCATTCTTTAGGTATGTATGGTTTAGAAACCTGCTGAGCTAAAATACTTTGGGTACTTACTAAGGAAAGAGTTCACAATTAATATGAAGACTATTTTAAAGCAATGCTCTTTTAAATTTGATGTCTACAGAGTCAAAACTAAAGAACAAGCTGGTATTTTCCTTCCGTTTTCTACTATCCATTGCATGTACTTTATAAGAACAGTGATTCACTTTGTTAATATGTTGAAGTTGCTTGGGTAGTGTGAGAGTGTAAAGCAAAACAACATACAAGTTTGAGTTACTTGTCAGTCACATATTATGTGTAAGTTTATGCTTAATTTTTAAGAAAACTATACAATGAAAGAACCTTCGTTTAGTTGTTGCTATCACGTCCATCTTAGTCAGTTTTTTTCTTGTCAGATGTTCACTGCAGTGGGTTCTTTGCTCAGGCCCTGCTCAACCTGTATCTCATGAACTCCGGTTATTTTATATAGACTACATTTTCTATAATATTAAATAAGTTTTTAAAATTATTTGCAACATGTTATTACAGCCGTTATCTTTGATAGTTTCTTAAGTCTATTTCTTGGGCTTTATTGCATCTTCCTGCATGTTTGTTCATTAAGTATATTCTTAAATTTAAGTTTTTAATTATTCAGAAAATGCTTTGCATAAAAAGTGTCATTGTAATAAAATTCTTAATTCCTGCTTATGTGTACTCCTGATAAAGTGTATTTATTATGAAATGGCTTTAACTGAATACTAAATCTGTATTTGAGGGTATCTATACAACCAACAGCTCTAGTGAAGTAGGAAAGATGTTTATGCTCACTCACTGACTCTGCTCTGGAATGTTGGTCCACTAGCTGCATAACTTATCAGAAGCTGGCTAGTTCTTCAGAGTTAGGTAGAAAAGTTAGAGCTGTCATCTTCAGATGCTTAGCCCTGCTCTGCACCAGCATACTAACCTGTGAGAAGGCTATTTAATGATAGAGTTTCTTTGTAGAATCTTCATTAATAATCTTTATTGACATCCCTAATTATTTGGTCTTCTTTTGAATACAATTTCTTTCTTTTTCTTTTCTTGCTTAGATTTATACAAAAAGAAAATGGAGAGTTATTGATAATTATTTGCAGAAATTGAGTTATACAATAATTCAGCATTGGGAGTACTATAGGAAGATTTTTTTTTCTGATAAGTAGATGAAAGCTAAACTATATTTTGATATGAATGATGTGTTTTAGAACACTGAATTCAATTTTTTAAAGTACATGGTCAGTTTAATTCAGGTCAATTCAATATTTATCGAGTACTTTGTATCTCTTAATGCTAAGGGGAAGGGAATGCAAGGATGGATAAGACACAGACTAGGACAGGGGATATAAAGAGAAGACTCACACTGAAAAAGAAGCTGTACAAGTCAGGGCAGAAAGCAGGTGTTCAGGAGAGTGGTCTGAACCCTGCCTGCCTACCCTTGAAATGGGTGCATTTATTCTGCAAGTAGCACACCAAGGACAGAAATTGGTGCCCTTAATCTCTGTTCCTCAACATTTATAAGTAAGTTTCTTTTTTGTTTTTAAAATTAACTTGCTATAACTGTTTGATTCTTTCTTGTTCATTGAAGAATTTTAGAGAAGTTTTTTTTAAATAAAGTTTATACTTTCAAATTATCATTGGTTTTGAAACGTTGTTTTGTATGAGGAGACCCAAAGTATATACTTTGTTTTTCTTCCTCTCAAAGGTAGTGTTCTTACTGTATATCTAAAATTATTTTCTATGTACCCAGTATGTCTGGATTTGGAATGAACAGGAATCAGGCATTTGGAATGAATAACTCCTTATCAAGTAACATTTTTAATGGAACAGGTAAGCGTACTCTGGAGCTAGTACCCTAATAAAAGTACAGTAGAGTTCTGCAATACAAGCATTCAACATACTGGTCTCTAAATATTAAGATTTTTTTGTTGTTGTTTTAAATAGTATTTAGTGAAAAACTGTCAGTGATAGGATTTAACTAAATGAGAGCAATGTAAATGTTTTTTTTTTCTCTACTTGGCCTTATAATATAGTATTTTGCATTGCAACATCAGTTATTTTTTAATATCTAAAGAGAGTAAATACTAACAATATTTGTGCCCCAGAATCTTGGTTTTGTTTTGTTTTCTTTAAAACTTTTCCTGTACTTAGCTCTATTACAGAAAACAATAGTGTAGACTAGGTTGGGTGGTAGGACATTCTGATTTTAGAGACTCAGATTAAAGAGAATCTGTCAAACATAGGAAGCACTTAACAGTTTTAAAAATAGCTTTCATAAAAATTTTCACATGTAATCCTTATGAATTTTGATCCATTATTATTTATTAAAAGATTGAGCTACCTGGAAACTAATTTGATTTTTGGCAAAAGTAAAATCTGTTGGTCTTTTTTCACCAACTGCTTTAGCCAGAAGAGAACAGGGAGTGGTATTGTTGGTTTGCTTTGCCTCTCGGTCCTCTGATGATGAGAAAATAAGGGATGCCGCTGTGATTGTAGGGCCAGAATTAAACAGTGTCATTGGGCGGGATATATGTGAAGCGGCAGCTGAAGGAACAGCAATAAGACGTGAAAGGAAACATTACTGCAGCTGTAGGCTTTTAACTTCTGAGTGTCGATGGTCTGTTGAATAGCTGAGGTGGATCAGCCAAGATTAAAACCATTGACAGAAATGGAAGATTTAAAGCATTTAAGTATTACAGTTTTCTGATGTGACTTTAAAATCTAACAACTTTGTAGTTCTTACAACAAAGTTGTATGCTTCATTGCTTTTAAAGTGTACACTTTTTCATGCCTAATATGTGAAGTCAGGCTACCTCTCAACATTTTAACTGAATGATGTTTTTATATGCTGCTATGAAGTTTCAGAATGTTTAGATTCTTAGGTTTTATACTGGAAAAATTATTGTCAAGACTTTCCCTAAGAGTTTATGCTTGAGAAAATTATAAATTGTTTGTTAAAATATTTTCTCACCTAATAAATGACAATTTTAAATTGGATATGGAAATATCTAAGGATGTGCATTAAAAGTTAATTTTTACTTTGTAAAGCTTATAATTAATCATATATTTTGAGAGATGTCTTTTTATAAATTAAAACAGTAAATAAGACTTTAACTTCTTTTGCTTTATCCATGTTGTATTTTAATGGAAAATTCATAAATTAAAAAAAAAATAATTTGTATGAAATTGTTTGTCTTTACCTTTATACTTACGGTTTTAAATTTTCACCTTTCTTGATATGTTAATACAGTTCTTTATTTTTAATCAACAAAGTTAGTCTTAAGATAATAGTTGTGATTCTTTTAATTGTAAAATTTTGAGAAAAATAAAAATTAATTGGAAAACAGCCCAATAAGTATATATGCTTATAAAACAAGGCAAAACATAGATAAGAGGAAAATTACAGTATGGGGTAAATTGTAGGTAGAAATTAGGTTAATTGTAGGTTAAGAACATTAGAATTCAGGTTAAGAACATTAAAAGGCTGAGAGAAAAACAATAGGCAAAATAGAGAAGTTTGGTTAAATGTTTATTTCTAATCGTAGCAGTCTAATTTAAAACAAATAAAATAAATCTTTATTCATTGTATTTATTGAGCGCCTACTGTGTAAAAGGTAATATAAACTTCTGTGTTTTGATCATTCCTATATTCCCCACCTACTCCTGAGACATAGGAGGAGTCCATCATTGCATGGAGCTAACATACACATACATGTGTACACATTTTCACTTCAGACTGAAGTGTACAAGGCAGAAGTCCTCAGGGCTTCTCTGTCTGCTGTTTGCCTCAAAGTCTTTCTGGACATTTGCAAGAGGTAATGTCATCATCATATCAGTCGAAGTGTAAAATAATCCAGATTTTGCCCCATCCAGTTTTAATGGAAAGAACAGTTACAGCTGAACAGTCTACTTCTTGTCCCCTAACAAGCTTTAAGTTTTATTGCCTTCTTGCAAAGTGGGAAATAGTATACACCCCCTCTTTATTCTTATATCTCTAGAATGAGGTATTTTAAGATGCTGGCTGTATACTGCCTTTCTCAGTTATTAGGTAAATAATTGTATGGCACAGAATCAGGCCGCAGTGTCTATGGCCACAGTCATGCACCTATTACTCCAGTCTGCACTATTAAGGAAGAAGACACTCTTGTTTCAAATGATATTTTGGTTTTTATAATCTCATTGTCTATGTTTGTGGAATCAGTAATGAGTATTATTTCTTATCACTTAGATGGCAGTGAAAATGTGACAGGATTGGACCTTTCAGATTTTCCAGCATTAGCAGACCGAAATAGAAGGGAAGGAAGTGGCAACCCAACTCCATTAATAAACCCTTTGGCTGGAAGGGCTCCTTACGGTAATTAATATTTTTAGTGTTGGCAGTTTAGGGTTCCGGTCTTGTGTACACACGTGCATGTCTTTGTGTGCATGCTCTTAATGTGTTTATGTCGTCAAACCAGGTTAGTGTTATTTTGTCGATTCATATTTGAAAACTTGTCTTTGTTTTCATACCTCCATAATAGCAAAGTTGAGTGGTAAACGTTTATATGGAAACCTAAAATACTTGACTATTCAAAGGTTGTTTTTTCTGTTCTTCATGCTTATAGTTTACTACATGTGGGTAATTTTGTGGTTTGGCTTTTGTTAGTTTGCCCCACATTATTGAAGCGAATGTATCTGGTGATTAATAATAACTATACATTAAGGTATTTTTGTAAGGGAAGATTTTTTTAGGCTCACACTGACACTGGGGCTGGATAATGCTCTTCAAAAGGAGAGTAGTCTAGGAACACTTTCATATAGAGTGTTCAGCAGCACTTCCAGCTTTAGCCTACACCTGCCAACACCATCTACTCTGTTGTACATTGTGGTACTCCTAGATACTGGCAGATACCCTCCTGAAAAGCTTGTCGCCTTTGAGAACCCGTGCTTCTCATTTTGTATTTTTATAGATTCTTACACATCATCAGTATCCCCAATCACTCTTTTTTACAGTCTGCAATAAGTTAAGAGATCTAGCTGGCAGAGCCTGAATAAAAATGTTAGGGAAAACCATAGGCAGTAAGAGTATAGCAATTCAGACATTAAAACTTTTGTTATATCAGCATAGCTATACAATGCTTATTACTATCAGATTATTGTTTCTTATGGGTGAGATCTGATAAGCTAGAGGCTAGTGTCAAGGCAGTAATGAGGTGGTTTGTTCATCAGCTATTTAAAAAATATAGCTCATTTTTCCATTATCAGTCAGAGGTTTTAAGTTCTGTATTTTTTGACTATGAATAAAAATAATGTGAGGAGGAAAAACTTTATTGATCCTATCTTAACCCTTCCAAATCTGTTTTCCCAAAATAAAACAGTGTCACCTGCCCAGGCAGTTGTGCCTAGCTGCTTGAATCTTAACTTCAGATGCTAATCTTGTTAACCTTTCCTCATAGGTCCTTTTTTCCATCCCTTTAAACATTCCCGTTGCTCTCCTTGGACCATCTCTAGTTTCTCCATTTCGTTCTTGAATTGTGGAGCCCCAAACTGGATTTTGTTCTCCAATAAGGGCCCGACTAATGACAAGTATAGTGGGAAGATTTTTTTCCCAGTTCTTGCATGTTTTACATCTGTAACATGGAGTCCACGAAAAAGAGAAATAAAGTGGAATTGTTTTATAATTGGTTGCAATTTGCTCACTCTGTAAGTTACTTTTAAGTAGAATACTGACATTCTTTTAAATATTATGTTCATTTTCATTTGACCACTAACTGGTGTTTATGGCATCTAGTCAGATATTTAAGGCTAGCCTGTAAGCCAGCATTTTTGATAATACTGCCAATATCAAATCCTATTTTATGCACATATATAACATTATATCAGAATTACAGGATTACCACTTTTTTTCCTTTTATTGCTTTATATGTTGTTTTTTTCCAGCAGTAAATCAAAATTTCATTCTTTATTATTGCCATTATATTAATGTTTGAGTTTTCAATTCATGTGCTTTAAGAAAAACTTTTGGTATATTATGATAAGCAAATTTAACTTTTTATATAATTTGTAAGACAATATCATAGATTCAATTACAGTTTTCTGGATTATTCTCATTACATAGTTGGAATGGTAACAAAACCCGCAAATGAGCAATCCCAGGACTTCTCAATACACAACGAAGACTTTCCAGCATTACCTGGTTCCAGCTATAAAGATCCAACGTCAAGTAATGATGACAGCAAATCTGTAAGTAGCTGAGAATCGTGTATGTGAGTGGTGTAGTTTTCTTCCCTTTAGACTTGTCATACATTAACAGTTACTACAGAGCTCTTTATTTTGAGTACTGTAATAATCTAACTTCTGAAGAATGTGGAAAGCTTTATAACTTGGAAGATAGCCTTTTTTTTTTTTTCCCTATTTCATATAGGTTTGCAAATTTCTGTTGAACTTCACAGTTAATTTAGACTTTTATTGTAGTCCCTGTCAGCTGGATCCCATGAAGTTTGATAATATAGACTTCTAAGGAGCTGTTTTTTTCTTGAGTAAGTTTTCTCCTTGAAGAATCTTTGTGCACATTTTTATGCCTATGTTGATTCAGCCAGTTCAGCTTCTGATTTAAGAAGTGTTTATTCCTTCTACGATTCGTTGCAAGGAGCTTTTTTTTGTATGTGTGATGGACTGTTATTAAACAAAATGGTAAAAAATATTGTTAGGTAAGAATGGAAATAAGTGTGGATTTTAAAAGTTTGTACGTTCCTAGTTTATCTTTGAGGTTGCTTTGATAATATTTTAAATAAAGTATATGCAGTTACTCTTATATAAATGTGTGTGTCTCCAAAGTATAAAAACTTGAGGAAAAAGATGTTTTCATATTTTTTCCTTGTAATCTATGATCTGAGATTTAAAAGAAAAAGGGTGAAAAAGACAGATTTTTCTCTCAATTTCTTGTCCTTTAAATACTCAAGGCTTATTTGGTTACCATTAGGCAGCTGTAGGGACACAAGTTTCAAGTAGAAACAGGTAATTATTTCCACTATAAATATAATAGTGAATAACAAGCAAGGTGTTCCTAAATTTAAACTTAGATATTTAACACATTTTAATGTCATACTTTCCTTTTTTCATGCTAGAATTTGAATACATCTGGGAAGACGACTTCAAGTACAGATGGACCCAAATTCCCTGGAGATAAAAGTTCAACAACACAAAACAATAATCAGCAGAAAAAGGGGATCCAGGTGTTACCTGATGGTGGGACTCTATAAATATGTCAGAGATATTTTAAAGTACATTTTCTCTACTTTTCCTAATATAAAATAAAAATAACCATGTTTTTCTTAACCAGGTCGAGTTACTAACATTCCTCAAGGGATGGTGACGGACCAGTTTGGAATGATCGGCCTGTTAACGTTTATCAGGGCAGCAGAGACAGACCCAGGAATGGTCCATCTTGCTTTAGGAAGTGACTTAACAACATTAGGCCTCAATCTGAACTCTCCTGAGTAAGTTTTTCTTCCATGTCTGTATATAAACTTGTAGCATTTAATGATTCTCATTCTGTACCTTTTTCTTTTGAAGACAAAACAACCCAGGCAGGCATTATAGTCATAATGCCACCCTGGATAGCCTCAGACATATATTATAGTTAATCTCATCAACACACCTGCTTACTCTTGGGGTCATTCCTTCTCTCTAGACCAGAGATCATTGTCACTCAGAATACTATTCTACAAGGATCGATCTGTGTGTCTGGCTGTCTGTATATATGAACGTATGTATGTATGTATGTATGTATGTATGTATGTATGTATGTATGTACCTACCTACCTACCTACCTACCTACCTACCTACCTACCTACCTACCTAC